CTGACCTCAGGGCCATTTCATTCCAGTTAAACACAGTGACCCACACCTCCATTAGCAACCTAATGCGATTGCCCCTGTGGTGGTGTTGTAGAGAAGCTTAGCCCAGTCTGAGCTAATAGACATGCATGAAGACACACAACTTCAATTCAGTGTGTTACAGCTGTGGGTGATTCTGTTAGCTACTAGCCAGGTTGTGAGTGGAAAATATAGTGGATCAGAGCGATATGTCCTGTGTCTCCCTGATGCCCACATACTGTAGGAGTTTGGGGATTCGGCATCGCTGTAGGGTGGAGGATTGCAGACTGTGAGGCCCCTTATCAACAGTAGCAGTGACACAAACTTAAGATACTTCAGAATTGTACTCACTCTTAGAGTTGTGACTCAGTGAAATCTGAGCACACAGACTTACAGTTTTATATTTGCATGACTTACACCTTCAGAGGACAAAAGGAACTCTGCTGTGTGTTGCAAGTAAACATCCATAAATCCACTTAGAGCTCACAAAAAAGATGCTTCTTACAGCTCCAGATCTTGCATTAGAATTACCACGTTTATCAGATTAACGCAGTGGTAGTTATGTCTTCATGTCTTCATGTCCATGGGTACTTTGCAAACAAGACCTGGCTAATAGCTAATGTGGGATACTTTTTCATAGGGTCAGTCTCAGGTAGTAACCCACTGTGTTACTTACTGAATCCATGGCAACAGCATACTTCCTGTTTAGATCATTATGGGACCTGTGGATCCAGGGCATTGGGTAGAGGGAACTCTTCCATTAAATGATACAGAGTGGCCTACATAGACTGGACTGAGTATCAGTTTTAGGTCTTCATGACAAGACTGATGATTCTCTTTTCTATTTGTCTAAATTGGGAGATTTATCAACAAAAAGAGATGAATACAGATGTTGGCTCTATGCAGTTTTTACCCAGCAAAGTTTAATTATATATAACAACAGTACAAAGTGAATCCTTGGCTTGCAAAATAGGTGTGCTTCATATTTACAATAGGTACACAATAATATATTATCATAACAAAACCAAACCAAATTAAAAATCAAGAAAACAACCTTTTTAAATACTTAAGTTTCTTACAGTTTCACAACACATTTATAAAACAAAAAGAACAGACAGTCATTATTATTATCATCATCATCAATGCCAGTAATTACTATTTTACAGAACTCCAGTGTCTACAAAGGGTTTGTTTACAATGTGTTTAAAAAGGAAAGCTACTCATTGTATACTTAGTAATATTCTGACTTGAGAGTAATACATTGATCTGGATTTCACTTCCTTTGTTTGATGCCATAAAGCAAACCAAAATGCTTGTTAAATGCTTAGTTTTGTATAAGGAATGACGTGCCGGTCAAAACCACAAAGCCGTCTTCAGCAACACGTTCCACCGAGAGCAAAAAAACTGCTCAAAGCATCTCCAATTTGCAACCAGCTCGAGCTGAAACGAGGTTGTCTTTGTGAGCATCTATGCATATCTTAAACAACTGGCAGTCAAATGGGATTCTGCGCTGCAGAAAGAGTAAACAAACTTTCCCCTTCCTCAGTTCAAACTGAATTAAAAGCATTCCCAGAAATGAGCGTACAACATGGAAACAAGCTATTATTTAGTAACACAAGAATAAGAGAAAAGGTGCATTCATCTGTGATTTAAGACATATACAAATGGGCTTTTGTGAAGAACTGCAGTCCGACTAATGGCAGCGTGGATCGATACAGAATACCAGGCAGAACTGAAGCATGAATTCAAATGCATGCAAAAACCTCACAGAAGATAGAAGGAAAGATCCTGATAGAAATGATCTCTGAGAGACAAATCAGACCCACTTTCAGCCAATTTGTGTACCTCTGATTATGATTCTCAGTACTGGGGGAGCTCGTGTTGGGAAGAGTTGGAAGGGCTCTAATGAACATACATTTCATCCCTTGGAAAAGGAAAAGGCATTTAGGTCCTGTTAAAATGATAAAAGCATTACTCCATACAAGCAATGTGAGGTATGAGGAGGATACAATTCTATTTGCTGAAATTGGGAAGACACCTCAGTCAAAAGGAAGAAACTCTATGTTTATGTATGTACTGTATGTGTGTGCCATTGTGCAACTATAGATGTTCAAAAGACCTTTTTCACTTGGCCTCAGAAAACGTCCCTTGCCCCTCCCAGCAGGGTATCCATACTCCTGCTGGTTAGCAGAATCATGGAGTTCAACAAGTCTAGAGCAGCTGCCACAGGTATGAGCGGATGATGTTAAACAGATTGTGAATATGCTTTCACTGACATCTTGGTCCAAACTTGACAAAGGCTATACACTTTTTTATTGAATGTTACCTACTTGATTTTGAATGTAGTTAATTTACGCTAACCTTAAAGATAGCTTTGCCATACAAGGATACACTATGTAGCAAATAAAATGCTGGTGTTCTTTTACATTTAACATATTTTATATATATTATAGCAGAGTCTGAAGAATCTTCCTGTAAATAATGTTAAAGGTAGGGCTGGCAATCCTGGAAAAAACTGCAAGATGAAGCTTGATTTTGAAAGTAGACAACCAAAGAATTAGACACAATGTGCAACGTGCACTGCTGGACTACTACTAATTTCAGGAAAATAAAAAATGTCCCCCCCCAAAAATACCAAAACAAATAATTAGCTGTCCAGCAGAAATACAACCACCATGGCGCCACCTTTCATCCCCTTTTGTTCTTTCAGTTGTCGCCATCATTCAAAAGCCACACAAGTGTTAATTTTGATTTTACTTCTTGCAGTGTCCAACTTCTTTTTAGTTGTAACTTTCTTGAATACAGGGTTATCCGTGGCCCCAAACTGTAGTTGGGAACCTCTGGTTCATGGCTAAACTGCTTTAGCCCTGGCTCCTAGCCAGTAACTAGCCTTAGAAGTCCAGGCTGTTCCAGCAGGGAGATGTGAAGAGGGAGGCCAGCTAATTCAAAACACAGGATGTATTCCGTCTTGGTGACATGAGCCCTACATGTGGCCTTGATGCCTAGCTAACTGCATTACAATGCTATCTATACACTTAGAGCATACTGCTGTCTGGCTGCATGTAAAAGGAGTCTGTTCCATGTAGTGGCCTTCTCGCTTTCACAGTGCACGCAGGGAGCAACTTCTGGGAGCAACAACAACAACCTATAAGGCTATACAGTATGGCTCAAAGGGGAAAGCCTGGTCTGTAACAGCAGTCTCTGTTTGCAAATGAAAGCTGCTGTGGGTACCTTCTCTACCATAGCTTGCTAGCTTTAGCTATCAAAACAGAGCAGTAACACGTCTGCCTGCAACTGCAATGCCTAGTGGGAGACTCTTAGCTCACGCACTGAGTGCAAGGGCAGAGTGTGAACATCTAGGAAGTACTGTAGGTTGACAAGCATGTAGGCCATCTGTTTTCCTTAGGATGAGTAAACTTACTGGTCAGGCTTTTTTCAGCCTTGCTGCTGCCAGAGATTATGCTTTTTTCTAATGTTGTCATTGCATTTAATGTTTTCATTGCCACTGGGATGAAAAGAGAAATTCAAGATATGTAACAAAAAATGCTTCTGGAAGGAATCACCAACCCTACCTTTAAGTTAATGTGTTTGTAAGCTGAGCGTAAAGCTTGAAGATCTCTCATGACTTACAATGGCAAACTGATAATGTTGTTGTTGTTCTGCTAATAGACCTAGCTTTCTTTTTTTTGGAGCTGCGTTTTTCATTTATGAATATACACCATAAATCTCCTCTACCCCCTCAACAAACTCTAAAGTACATATTTAAAAGGGTTGCTTGGAATTTTAACACATAGTGGTGTAAGTTACAGGCTAATGTTTTCAACAGACAGTACCAGTACCAGTACCAGTACCCAGCTTGCGCACCCAGGAACTGGCTAGATAAAGTGCTCCATTCAGCTATGATTGGAGGCAGTAACAAAAAATAAAAGGGGTATTATGGTGAACAAATGGGATTTAAAACATTGTAAATGTGTAAATATTCTGCTGAGTGTTGACATTGCCTTTTTTATACAACTTCACAGAAATGTTGGACTACAGCTTTGCCCTCAAGTTCCTGCAACTGACCATAGCACTAAACCGAAATTGCTGAGACCCCGTAACCCTGGAAAGAGGACGTTAACTGAGGTCATTGTGAAAAAGGTCTATAAGGGGAAAGGAAGCAAGAAGATGCTTTATCAGATATGGGAACAAAGTACAGCTGCTCTTTCCCCACATCTGCCCCCACTGGCCAGACACCTTAACAGCATATCCATCATCACCTCATTCTACATTTCTCTTTGCCTGTTAGTTTGGTGTTTTTTTTCCCCCATCTCTTAATCACACTGTGCACACAACCGACTCAGATCAAAGAGCAGCTTCAAAGCTAAAGGGATCCTCTCTCTTTGTACCACTCCCTCTCTCCTCGTTTCTCGACACTTCTCTTCAAACAGCTCAGTCGAGCCGGGTGCTGAGCAAGGCAATGTCTGCCTGAGCCAGGCCGTACCCTCTTCACCCTTTCCTTTCCCTTTATCTCGCTTAGACAGCTCTCAGCAGAGTGCCAGGGCCAGGTATCATTGAAAAACCACTGGGCTCCGAAGTAATGAAAGCACTGTGTCCAAGTCAAGGACCAGTAAGATCAGGAACACTAAGCAGGTGGGTATCTAAGGCCACAGAGAAAAGAAGCACCTTTCACCCACTACTGGTGTTTATCATGCTCTCAACACACACAGTTGCAGTATATACTGTATAAACCTTTAATACTACCTATTTTCAAGTACTTGATGTAAACAACGAGCAAACATATATCTCAGGAGAAGATGAAATCACCTATCCAGAGGACAGAATCTACAGTTTGTTGTCATCCAGCTAGAAGGTCGGAAGGTTACATCAGCCTTTTAGCTTGTGACTGTTTGGTTTAAGTCAGAAGATGCATCCGCATAGCAAGAACATACTCTTGTCTTTTGTCTGTTGTTCCTCTTGTTTGTTTCGTACCTTTTAGAGTTTTTAAACTCACCATTCCAGCTTCAACACTAACTGGCTTTACACTCCAATATGAGAGTTTTTCTCCCTCTGTAAAGCATTAACCGATTTTTTGACACATTAGTGAACATTTTGAAACAACAGGATCTTTTGGCACTTTGTCAAACTAGACCCACACAGATAGGGCTCTCTGTGCAAAGACATGAGCGGTGGTCGGGTGAGCTAACATCTCTACTGGCCAACTAGGGCTGGTATATCTGATTGGCACTTGATAAAATCAAAGATGAACCCCTAAACAGTTTTAATGTGTGATAGCATGCATGCAAAGTACACATAAAGTTGATAAAGTGTCTAAAGAGATACAGCCAGTGGATATATGATAAAGAGTTTTAGCCTACAGAAACCAATTACTCTCATTATCCACTGGCTGCTAGCTGTGACAGCCCCAGTGCAGGAAATATGCACTTGCTTCTAGCAGAAAAGTGAATTAGGCTAATTAATCAGCTGGATAGGCTGGGCCAGGATGGACACACAGAGCTGTTCACTTGATGAGCTGCTGCAAATATCTATGGGGTTCAGAGGAGCCCCTTCCTGTTTGCAAAGCTCAAATAGACATAAAGACAAACAAACAAATAAAAACAGTTTTGTACATTCACATACACTGATTGGCAAATATCAACCGGTACATACACAGATGACTTAACTGCTGAAAAAAGCCAGGGTGATTTAAGGTCATCTCCTACAATAAATACACTATAGACTTCATCTCTGTCATCTTCACTTTAGGTGCAAGCATGCTGGCTGAACTGTGACCTCCACACGTGCAGCTCCACTGACTGGGAGTTTTATGAGTTTCTGTACACTGCTGATTAGATAAAGAGCAGAGTTTTTGTCCATGTCATGTGAAGCATCGGTCCGAGGAGGGAAGGAGACATGGACTGTGGTCTCCTTTACTTCCACACCACTCTTCATGTCTGTTAAACAACAACGTTATGGGAGCCTGGGTGCAACTGAGAATATTCACATGTACAAATACAAAAATAAAAATCTGAGAAATCTGAATGCAAACTCAGCTGTCCAACATGAGAACCGCTCCTCTGCTTCTCTCCTTGTCATCTTCATTTCACACTCAGATGTATGTTTGTGAGTAGAGAGCAAATCTGTTTCTCCATCTGCCCTCACTGTCTTTGCACGAGTCTTCTTCATTACAAACACACACTCATGCACCCCCCACCCACAAACACACACACACACAACATACCATTTCCTCTCTAAAAGAAACCAGATAAAAGAATAATAAATACAAGCTATGCTGTTGCTTTCTCTGCTGATGTTCCTTCCTTATGCCATAATCAGATCCAGCTGCAGGGCATCTGTCTCAGACTGTGGACCCTTAGCTGACACCATCATGGAAGGAAAGAGGGAGAATTACAGTACAAACTAAAGCAGTTCTATGTCTGTCCGGCTGTGGATACAGATGTCCCGGGTCTGGTTTGTGGTTGTAGCTCCCACTATGAGAGGTAAGTAAAGCAGGACCTATTTGGGAGGTCCTGTAGAGATTATGGTCCTCTTTCTTTCTTTCTTTCTTTCTCTCTTTCAATAGGAGTCACTCTCAGCTCTCAAGGGACATGGCAGAGATGAGCTGCTCCACCTTATAGGCCAACCTCTGCTTCCTTGCTTGGTCATCCTGCTCCAGAGCTGCTGTGATCTGCGCAAAACATAAACTGTTGTTAAATAACAGACATAAGAGACACATCCTAGGATCACATCCTTATTGGCTTTGATACATTTCTTGAATTAGAATGCAGAGAAAATTGCTGTACGAGTGTCTGCTTCGGTGTTGAAAACCTACACTTACAAACCTATTTCTTTATAGAGTAGAGCATCTATTTTTAGGTTTACCAGAAAGAAAAATAAAAGAATCACATCACTGTCTTTGTCTTTGACAACATGGAGAAATACTTGTGTATTAGCCTTTTATCTTCTGAGCCCCGTCTTGTAAATTTGGCATTTTTCAAGTCAGGTTCAAAAGGGATTCAGACAGGCTCTCCTCTTCTTTCTATCATTTACTGTCTGACTTGTCACAATGAATCTTTGTCAGAGTGACACCAACATACACGGCAAAGGCCTTGCAAACATTGCAACAGGGGCCACCTGTCATCACCTTTGATATGGATGTCCATCCATTTTCCTCTGCTTATCCGGGACCGGGTCGCGGGGATATGGATGTCTGAATCCAAATACTGCAGCCTTTATTTCAACACACGAGTTCTGGTTTTCTACTGTGTATCTGCTAAAGTAGATCCATTTCACATCAAACTAATAATTCTAACAAATTGATAATTCAAACCAAATAATCCATTGACCCCTCTTACACAATGTAATTCAGAGGCAAGAGATAAATAATGAATAATAATGAGAGAAAGAGGTCGTCCACATTTTACAGTTTATCCATGTTGGATCACATTTTAGATTAAAAACAATCCATCACCTGTTTAATCTTTAATCACTTATTCATATTTAGGGTCACTCAGGGTCTGTGCCAGCAAAGGCATGAAAATACACAGCAATAAAAATATGAATCAAATATCAAGCATCCACTGCTGTAACAGAGTACATGTCTGGTTTTTTTTTTTGCTTTCAGAAATTTTATTATGCCATTTTAGTGCTAGAGTCTTTCTGTCCTACCTTCAGCCAATTAGTTTTTGTTGGATCTTACAGGACGATAGCTCTCCCACCTTTTATGCAGTAAAAACCGACTCATTGTCTGGATAACATGTCAGCAACATTCTTGTTCTCTTCTTTTTTGCATAGCATGACAAACCTTTGTGTGCTGCCCAGCTTCTATCTGCCCACCTACCATCTTCCACTCACCAGCTTAAGTGCTCTTAAAGGCTGGCAGCTACAAGCAGATTCCTCCTCCTCATCAGGCCTGATAGCAATCTATTATTAATCTGTAGAACTGTATGCAGGTGCAGTTCCTACTGCCATCTCCCAGATCCATTTAAGTTGGCTGCAGCCCTGGTCTGGTTGGCCTGACGCACAACCCTTTGTGAAGGACTAAGTAAGAACGAACAACTGCTAACGGTTTTATGCACTGCACTCTGGGAGACAGCACATGCTGCAGGAGTGATGGGGTAAAGGTGTAAAGTGTATGTGTGCAAAATGAGTGTGACTGAATATGTCTCTCTGCACGTGTGCATCTGACACACCTGCAGAGGCAGCAAAAGTGCATGAATGAGATTCATGGAGACCAAAGCAGACTAAATAATGGACACAAAAAGGGGAAGAGAAAGTAAGAGAGAGACGGGGAGAAAGAGAGGGAGAGATATTGTGGTCCAACATAAAGGTCAGGCCAATGCTTCCCAGAGGATGGGCTGACATTAGAAACAGAATGTCTCCCTAAATGCTCTCTCTTTCTCCTTCTTCCCTATCTTCCTCTCTTCGTGTGACCTGACATTGTGTATGCGTTGCCTGTCATTCTCCTCATGAGTGCCCCATATACTGTAACAGAAAACCCACTCCCACTCAGCACAGGCAAAAGGACAGAGCAGCATGCTGAGAGCTTGTAGACATTCATTTTCTGCTCCACAGATCAGACACACCACCTTGTTAAACTCAGGTTTCACTAGAGCTCTGGGCATTGGGGAAGTCTACTCAAGTGTCTGAGCTGACCTCACTAACCTTTGCCAGTTGTGAATAGTCTGGGAACAGCAAGAGCAAACTTGACTTACATTAAAGTGTGGGGCAAATTTGTGGCATGTCTTTCATTCAGTTCATGCTCACAATCTGCCTGTAATCAGCACCTGGTTCACTAAGGTGTAATGTGTAGAGAAAGAGAGACCAGAGCAGAATGGAGACCTGCCAGCCTCAAACAAGATCTTGGTGTACCACCCGCATGGCATTTCACAACACTTGTTAATGCATAAATATTACTTTATTTGATATTCAACCTGTAGATCCCTGGTGACTGGTGTCACTATGAGTAACATTATAGCAGACTACAGAATGCACAGTCGGAAGTCTGGGAATGTGGCGACATGACCATCTCTTCCCTAACTTTATAGGGATTTCTGCTGCATGTGCACTTCCCTTTTTTCAGCCCATGTGCCATAATGCTCATTATAATTACAGATTTGGCTGCAACATTTAATACTGTGAAAAGTCACGTTTAACTATATGGACAATATAACTTTGTCAACTTAATTAAATGGCTGGTGAACAAGCAAGCTAGTAAAATCACAGTGTCCTGAACATTTTATAGGAGTTCAAAGAACCAGCCTCACTTGAGGAACCAGCCAGGGGGAGTGAGAAGGGGGAGTGAGAGGGGTAAAATCAAGGTCAAGAGTGTCTGTTGAAATGACAATAATGGTACGCCCTCAAATGTGGTGCTACGATGGTGCCCAGGTTAGGTGTGTATGAGCAAATTCGTGTGTGTATGCAAGCATTACTAACCTCCTCACTGTACTTGCTAACATAAGAATAGATCTCATTGAGAGCACTCAGCATGTTGAATTCTGTAGAGTGGAGTCTGGCCTGTTCTGCCAAATAAGCATTCATGTCCTGGTCACTAATGGCTGGCAGCCGGTTGATGTCAGCATAGTACCTGGGGACACAGACAAGGAGCAACACTTGGCATCACTGCTACTGTTAGAGCATCACTGAGTCAGTGTAATAGCTCATCTGAGACCTATGTTCTTAATAATATCACTTTCACTAACAATGCATGTTTGCTAACAGTCCCACACAAAAGGTTTTCACAGAATCTCATTGAGAATTATGAATCCATTTTCTCAAAGGGAATACAAACAGATGTGACAGAGGGGATCAGAATGGTAGATAAAGTGACTGCATCGCTCCTACCTCTCTACCCAGCTCTTGTAATTGGGGATATCTTTAGCGTAGAGCAGCTTATTGGATGGGGAGTCTTTGCCTAAGCGGTGCTCTGAAGTGGAGCAAGAATCCATAAAAGTTTGAGCTACTACTGACAGACAGGCATCTGTGATGCTGCTCTTGTGGATGTCAAAGACAAACTGCGGGTTCTTGATCACGTTCACCCAGAAACGCAAAGGAAGGCTGGAAAAGACAGAAACCAGAAAATATGTAAGAGACAGAAAGATGTTCTCACTTAATCACTGAATTCTCTGAGATCAGCCTAAAAGCAGATTTGTCATGTGACATTAGAGAAGGCATGGCATGGTATAAAGGCTTACTGTATGTGATATCACTTTTGTGTCCTTACCAGTTGCTTTTCCACGTGTGGCGTACATCTGTGTCATGAATGCCATGTTTGTCTGCCTGCTCATCCAGGAAGTCAAACATGTATTTGATGGCCAGAGGTAGAGTGCTCCCCCTGTGAACCGTACTGAACAACGTCTCGAATAAGTCATCGACAAATTTTTGAAGTGTACCCTAGGTGAAAAAGAAGTGTACACAGAGATGAGTACAGGGCATGAGGTAAAGTCACAGAAAATGTAAAATAACTGAGAATGTGTGAACAATAGTTATGCTGATGCACATAAACGTATGGGAAAATAGTGCCGTATACCTTGGTAGCTAGCAGCCTGGTCAGATAAATTTCAGAGACCATCTTGCTACCGCGGTCTCCTTCCTTCTGGTCTCCGTGTTCGTGGTTCTTCACTAAGTGCCACACCTTCACACCACTTTCTAGATCAGGGGTGATCATGGGGGCACGCGAGCGGAGGCTATCGGGACTGCCCGTGTAGCGGAACGAAGAGTCTGTCCAGGGAAGAGAAAAACAAGAGAGCGATACAGAATTATCAGTAAGCCTAAATGATTGTGATTATGAAAGCTTCCCTTAGGTGCAGCATCATGTAAATTAAGCATACACCTAAAACAGCACACCCACACATACTCACACATACATATATACACACAGCCTCTCTCTCATCTCCCCTTTGTAACTCATTACAAAGCCAGATCCTCAGTGCTCCTCCTCCTCTAAGCCATGGTGTAAAAGAAACTGCGGTGTGGATAATTGCATAGAACAACACAATGAAAGTGACCCTGACACTGTGGTAGCCCTCCTGAAGCTGGAGGTGACACACCAGATGGGTGAAAGCTTGTCACTCTACATTAAAGACAGTGTGCAGGACAGAAGTATTTATAAAAGCAACTTATTTATTCCTCTCTGTCCTGAATGATTTGATTCTTTCCTTTCTTTCTACTCGTTTATTCTCTCATCCCTTTCCGTGGTTATACTGTATATTCCCGGCCTCACTGTCTGAGACATGGTTGTGCTTGGCTCCTCTTAAAAGCACTTATAATTGGCTCTTCCCTGCCATATTGTTCCAGCGCCATGTTGAAACCATCCCTGTCGCACGCTAATCAATGCATCAAAAGATCCCTAATTTGTTAAGTGCTGAAGCCACGCTCCTTCATCCATACATCCTCCTCTTCTCTGCTCTCCTGTTCCTGCCTCCTTGCTCTTTGCTCAGTCGGAAAAATGCTGGTTTCAGTTTCTAATTAGCCGGCCTCTAATCCTGGCAGCTGGCTCTCTGCAGATTCAGGATCTGAGGATCTCAATGAGGCTCTCTCTCTCACCTGGCTTCAAAGGCTGAGCTGAAAAACAAAGATTTCTCCTGCCAATACAGCCACAAACACCTTTCTAAAAAGACCAAGCTGCACCTCTGGAGAGGCCAATAGGGACCAGAGCCTCAGTAAGGGGGTCTCAATGTACTGTGGGTGTGTGCAGGGTGGAATGAGGTCCTAAATCCCATCTCAATCCAGTCACTGGTTTTCACTGCTCTGTTAATTCCTCATCCCCTCCAGCCTCCCTGTGCCCTTGGCCTTTTCACAGCTTCCTGAACTCTAAGGCCACAGCCCTTCCCACTTTCGCTGCAGTCCCCTGCTCCTGGACGCAGCCAGCAGGGTGTGCACAGTGTGCTCCAGCTGATTTTAAGGCTACATGGGTGGTGCTGGTAGTGTAAATTGAGTCAAGATGCTCAATGTTGAATGTTAAATTAGTATGAATCTATCAGCAGATGTCGAGATGCAGCTGTGCATGCTGTGCCAACACATGATTGATGAGGGATGGGCTCATGCCAGCAAAGCTTCTGCTTTCTATGCCATACACATCCGGCTCCAGTGCCTGAGCACCCATAAAAAAAAAACAACAACAAAAAAGTAGAAGCGTGAGAGAGTGTACAGTCTCTCGGTAGCTAATTGTAGTCAACAGATTAAAACATCCCACATAGCTAAGATTCAAATTCAATTTTATTTGTATAGCACCGAATCACAACAAAAGTCATCTCAGGACACTTTACAAAGTAAAGTCTAGACCTTACTGTTATCACTATTATAGAGGAAAACTTTGCCTCTGCCTCGACCAGTTGGGATGAGTGGACAGAGGAGAGAGAAGAGAAAAGAAAAGCAACATGACACAAGAAACACAACAACAAACAATCAAACACTGGGCAGGTTGCTGTGGCTGATGATTGAATAAGGCTGCGAAATCCTCTGCAGCAAAACAAAGTGCAGATCCCAACAGAACCAATCACTGTTTTGGAGCGAGTGGCTTTGTTCGCACCTGAAGCAACAACTAATAGGAGCAATGTTATAATGTGTCCTCACAGCAGCAAGACTACATCTGCATGGAATTTACTGTTGATTAACTGATGAATAAGTTTATAACTACATCTGTAATGACCTGATATATGATTGTATGATACTTTACAGTCAGTGTGAGTAATGTCAAGGCCACAACAAGGGCACAAAAAGAGCAATCTGGTTCATTGACTTACCATATCTGCTGATGGAGGTTCGCGATATGCTGGCTGATGTAGGGATGTTGTATGATGATGTCTGTTTTGGCACCAAAGCCACAACGCAGCGGTCTGACACCTGTGTGTGGAGACGCATGCGACATAAATATGCTTGCGTCATGTTGTTTTGGTGATTTCCACATCAGAATTAGAACACAGTATTCTAAAACTGTTTTTGTTCCTGAAAAATATTTATATCATAGTAGAGGGTTAAATATAGTACATGACGTCCTCGTGACTAATCCCATGAGCAAAACATAACCCAAACCTCTCAACAACCCACAGTCCCTTCCTGTCACATCCGAGCTCCCTGCTGTTCACCACCACAGCCCTGTGGCAGCAGAGCTGTACTCTGCAAAACCGTCATTGCCATCCTCTTCACAGACATTAGAGATGTGATGACAAGAGAGAGTCAGAAGGAAGGGAATGGGAGGCTGTCAGAAGGAAGGACACCGGTGCTGAATATCTCATCTCTGTACACTTAACACCCTTAAAGAAAACGGGGAACGCAGGTATAATAATAGCATTTTAGAGTAGCACGGAGTCGGAGTCAAAGAGAAAGACGAAGAGAAGAGCCTGGGTCATGAATAAGAGACAGACACTTAGGTTTGTCCTTTTTCCCTGTGCAGTTTATATTTACCAAGGGCTCTTGGCCTATTTGATGTACTCCAGTCACTTCAGATAAGCTGAGAAAAATAGATGCAAGCTACATGAGAAAGGATATCCTCCAACTCAGTTTCATAAAATGCTTCCTAAAGAGATCTTTCATAAGTCCTACAGGGTAATTCAACATGAAATAGCAGTTTAATTATAATTAATCTTAAAAATGCTAGTACTGTAGGTACACCAAACATCACATTTTAGAAAAACACAAAATACAGCAAACAGAACTCGAGGCTCTTTTCTGAAAGCCAAAACAACAAACAGCTTGTTGGCTGGCATTTACAGCCCACCCCAAGGAGGCATCTCTGCGGTGAAGAAAAAATGATGAGCCTCCAGTGGAGAAATAAACAAAAGGCAAATGCCAGGCTCCAAAAGGAATACCACAAATGATACACAGCTAAAAAGGCTATTTTTCTTTTCATTTGCTTTAGCAGGCGCTTTCCCATTCCTTAAGTTGCTTTATGTTGGGATGGACATTTAAAGGATTCTTCATCACCCTCATCTACTCTCATCTTCTCTCATTCTCATCCTCAAGCCTTTCTTCTATTCTTCCCAAGTTGATGTTAGCATCTGGCTTCCTGGAGAGACACCTGAAACTGAAGGAATCCTCTTAAAGATGTAGCTCTGGCACTCTGACCTCTTGGAGGACAATGAGAAATGGGCTTCGTAACCCCCACTGCCACCTACAAGTTGCCTTTTTGACTCTTCACTTTCCTTCTCATTTGTCTCTGCTCTCCTAAACCTCATTTATTTGGCCTCTCCATCCTATAGCTTCCTCCTGGCTGACACTGCAAGACCAACTCTAATACACAGACAGTGTGGACCTCCGTGAAGTTTCCACTATATGCACTATTCCTGTGATACATTTTCTCTCAGGAGCATGAAATAGCTTCTCTGCCTCCTTCTCTTTACGCCTCCCTCCATCTCTCTCTCACTGTTTTTTATGACTGAAAGAGAGGCTACAGCAGAGATGGGTCCTTGTGATAGAGTAAATGATTGAAGGTGTGCTGATTCGCCCTTCAGGGATAATCCAGTGTGGGGCTGATAGTGGGTAGGTGTGATAAGGGCTGTGGGCCCTGCCTGTGATAACACCTTCCATTAAACAGTGCAGAGCTGACCAGACAGTGTGGTCAACCTCTGCCTTTCTTTTCTCAGCCTTCCACACACAAGCCACAGCCCTGGTCCTAGCCTGACTCCGTTTGGTGTCCCATCTCTTCTGGACTCATGCCATCAGATCATGATGGTAATCATATCTGTCGACTGTGATCGGAAGCTTGGAAAAACATGGCTTGTGTGCATATGAGAAACTGGTGCCAGGAATAATGAAATGTGTAAGGGGCTACTACATGTTAATTTAACACTCTCTTGAATATCACACAGTGTCTTTGAAGGATTTAAGGCTAATTTGCAGGACTATCTGAGGGAATGAACTGAAGAATCAGTCTGAGGTCTTACTCCAGCAGTTGCTACTGGGGATACAGTATGAGTCATGGTGCCGTAGCACCGTACCATGTCTCACACTCTTTGCCAAATATATTTACTCAGACAATAGTGTTCCATCTAAAAACCTTCGCATTCTCATCTGACCAGGATGTATATTCAGGTTTTTATATGGACCAGTGAGCTGAGCCAGCCACAACACACTGTAGTAGTATCTGTCACATCTGGGGCAGTTCAAAATAGCTCAAAATGCCCCAAATGGTGTCTGCAAGGTAGGTAATAGGATCGAGCTGGCAGGCTCTCCTGGTGTGGTCATCGGTGTCAGCTCTCCCTGTTCCTTCACTGCAGAGGACAGTCGGAGGTCACCAGACTGCAGGGGAGAGATGTTTCCAAGCTGACTTTCCTCTTCATTTTGATGCAGTCTCACCCAAAGTGAGAGAGGGAGCAGTCTGCCCTTTACTGTCACTTATCTGCACTTTAATAATGTTTCTGACAAAGCACACACTGCCCATGTGTCCCCACAAATGGATGTGACAAACAAGTATTAATATTCTGGGAAAGCCACAGTCCACCTGTAATAAATCAACACTTCGTCAAATGTCATCAGTGTAATTACTCAAACTATGCACTGGCGAATACAGCATATGTCTGTTTGCAATTTGAATCATTGCAAATAAATTAAACAGGGTGACAACTTCAGTTTGTGATAATGTCCTCTTCATGAGCATTGTTAAAGTTCTGCTCTCTCCAGCTAACCAAAGTGACTCATGTCTGTGTCCATGCGTCTGTGGGACTCCTTGGAATTTCTGCTCACTGCGTGGACACCATCCAGCAGCACGGACGTTAACACTTACATATGTTAAGACGGCAGAGATGAAAGAGAGAAGAGAAGACAGAGAAAAAAGGTGTGATGAAAATCTTTGCTTTGACAAAGACAAAGATTGTGTATGTGTGTGTGCGCATGTACTAAGTGCATATATGAGTATCTTCTTCTGTCTTTATCATCTATGTAAGAAAGAGCATAAAAACATGCAGAAATAGTGGGAGTGGGTTGGGAAGGTGGAAGCTTAGTCCCCTGACTAGGAATTGAAGGTGCTGAAAAAAGATTCGGAACTCATTTTAAATGTGTGCATTTATGTTTTTAAAATTTTTTGTTCAATTTTAGAGTAGCAGGGAGCTGGGAAGATGTGTTTTTCCATATCCAGGTTATGTAAACCATTATTTCCCATGTGTGAGCGTTATGCATTTTAATGCATAAGGGAGAATTACGCTAGCAAAACTGGCGGTGATGTTCAGTTTCACTCTGCATATTTTGGGCCCCCTTTGAATATTTCTTCTTTACCACTTATCATTTTTTCCTCCAGCTTTTTCCTCACTCTGGGCCCTAATGAGCTGTGGTCTCTTGTTGTGATAGGCAGCCATATGTGCTGTCACATTTGCCAGAGCAGTAGCATGGTGTGTGACGCAAACACACACAAGCTCACACACAGGAGCCATTGCCAGCTCATCAAAACTGTAACGATGCACAAGTGTCTGTGTTATTCCATCCCACTCTCATCTCTCTCACCCCAGCAACTGCCCTGTTCCTTTACACTTCTTCTCTTTCTTCCTTTTTCTCTCCTTTCCTCTTCCCCCTTTCCCCCATGTTGCTCTGCAGCCTGTCAGTATCTCCTCTGAAGTTGTATAGTGTCAGGCCTTACATTCTGCACAGGGACCCTTAGATCCCTGATCAATAGCAGTCCTAAGATGTGCTATTGAGTAAGCAGATAAGTGAAGCAGCCACACGCATGTGTGCAGTGTAGCAACTCCCTTGGCTAATGATAGCAGACACACTGTGGCACAAAGAATTGCTAAACACAACAGAGGAGCCCATTATGGCATAGAAACAAACATACTGCAGCACTTCATCAAGGATTAAAGCACTGCAGAGATCAGACAAGAAGAGGTGCTCAGAGCAAGAGGCTCAGTGCCTGTTGGTAGGTGTGATGGAAAAAAGTTGCATCATCTGTGTGTGGAAAGATGGAGACAATGAGGGTGAGGACAGAAAGGAAGGTGACAAGGGAGGGAAGGGGAAAGAAACTGCCTGGTGCCAAGTCGTATGTGAAGGACACTGTGATGTGTCCCTCCTGTTAATGAGTTTTCCATCTGTTAAATGTTTCAGCTTGTTCTGCTGGGGAGTGAGTTGAGGCTGACCCCCCAGTGTGAGGGCTTGAGCCTTGCCAGACCTCATTACCACAGTCGACTTTTAGATGGAGCTGCATCTCCTTGGCCCCATGATCCTGATCTCCAGCCACAGCTGCATCACAGTTTACCGCCTCTTTCGTTCTCTGCTCTTCTCTCTGTTAAACAGGGGGCAACAGGTGGACCCTCAAATTGTAGGGTGTGTGAATCCCACTTCTACATATGAAGAGACAGAAGCAGGCAGTCACAGCACGACTAATCTTTTGCCCGTGTAGAACTCAGTGGAGCAGAAAGAGACAGAAAGAGAGATGCTGTCCTCCTGACTGGAGCAGCTTCCTCTCTCCAGGGAGGAGGAAGAAGTGCCGGCTGAGATGTTGAGATTTCATCTCTGCTGCCACCTGTACAGTAATTGTCCTCTACTCTGTGAGCCACTTGGATTACACCAGGCGCTGGCATGCAAATGAGGAACTGAAAATTGGCTGCCTATAAGTCAAGAGCAGGAAACATCAAAGTTTGGCGAAAGCTGCAGTACAATCTCTGCTATAAAAGCCTCAGCAGAAATTGAACTAAAATGAGCTTTTTCTTGGTTTATAAAAGTTCCAGAATTAAGGAGAACATTACACTAAAATCTTTTTGTTTACCTGGTAGTGCATGAGAGTGTTCAATCTCTTCCAGTCATTTTCTATCTTGGTGGTGATGTCTTCATCCTGCAACACCACACGAGCCATTCGTCCCTGGCGCCACTCTGAGGACACAAACATACACACGGTGAATTACATAATGCCTATGCAAACTATACACTGAACCACAAAGAATATTATTCTTAGTGTTAGGTATTTTTTAGTCAGATAGATATTGGTTAGGTACTTGATGTACCCGGTACTTCTTACCATACTGACTCTGAGAGACAAGCCAGTCCAAATAACTACAAAACAGTGCTGATTTATTCAAAGGATCACAGGTAAAATTAACATTACACGCTCAGGCATCTTGCACCTCCAACCTGCTCACAGGCAGATGAAAGATGAAAGACCCCTGAACCCACCAGGCCTATACATTATATCTGTTTTGGGCTAACCCCACTCTACACAGGAACGTCAAACCGTGACGTCACCTGATATGCCAGCTATGCAGCTGGCCAGAGCAGTAGTCAAAACATGGAGAAAATCCATGTGTGTGTGTGTGTTGATTAAGTGGTGTGTATCTAAAAACATTCTGGCAGGACATTCAGTGACATGTCCTGGTACTAAACAAAAGCAGATATTATGATTACGATTACGGTTAAACACATAATAATAATAATAATAATAATAATCATCCTGCCTGCTGACAATCAAACTTTTCTATCTAGTTATCCTTGCCCATGTGCACCCTGCTAAAATCTCATGACAATGACTAAGCGTTTAAACAGTCTAACTAGACATCCTGTCTCCACTAAACATTTCTTATACAACAAGTACCTAACCAATATCTATCTGACTAAAAAATACCTAACAATTGTTTCAGTGAAGAGGTTTGGCGACCCACATGTACTCATGAAGGTGTGTGTGTCTATGTTTTATGCAATGCGAGGCAATTGGGAACTGTGCTAAGATAAAAACAACTTCCACAGGACACAAAAACTCTTACAACACCTTTCTTTTAGACCTCATTTTCGTCTCTGTCGGTGGAACGTGGCTCCCAAAGAGAGCTCTCTACACACATTACCCAAATGAATAGATATCAGCAGCCGACGTTCTTGTTAGGCTCTCGGCATGTGTTCTCCTCTCACAGACTTGGACTGACATGCATCTTAATTAAACATTACACATGAACAATGTCAAGATGTATATGCATGCTTTAATTGGTAGTTGTGTTGTGGAGATGGTGTGCCATTAGCTCACGCAGCAGTTGGCCCATCAGGGTCCAAAAGAGGAGAGGAACAGAGCAGACAAGATGGGAAGAAAGGGTGAACTTTGAGAAAATCACCTCCTTTCAAAAGTAAAAAATAGGAAGCAAGGGGAAACAGGTGGAGGCTATAAGCAGTATAGCCTGACGGCTCATTGCGGGGTAATGAAATGATAATATGGTTGCTGACAGGGAAGTGGACAACCATTGTGGCTCTCATGCTGGGAGTGATCATTGATTTTCTCCTCTGTTGACTGGGTTTTATTACTTTGCGCCTCTGCCAGGTGACTACATGACATCCCCGCTTGGCACACCATCCTCTGTCTAATCTAAAACTATCTAACCTACATTCAGCTCTGCTGAATGTAGGTTAGACTCAAGGAATCAGTGAAGGGGTAAGACATAAACAAAAGAGAACAAGATTGAAAATGTTCACAGGGCCACACTGTAGAGCGAGAGATGATTTGCACCAAGGAGAGGGAGGCTTTTGTTCGCTATGCCCATGTGAAATGAGAGAAAATGAGAGGTACAGAGCAATGGGAGGTGAGGTATGGGTGAGGTGAGGATGGAAGCAGCAGACTGCGTGGGAGTGGAGCCCAGCTCAATGCTGGTGAGCCTGTCTGTTAGCTCTTACCTGGGTCAGTCAGACAACCATGTCACACACACACAAAGATATACACACTTCTCTGTCTCAATCTACAGTGTCTTACTGGCACTACAGGGAGGCAAAAGCAACCAGACGGTGAGATGCATCACACACTATCAGTCATTTTGTTAGAGGGCCTGGCAGCAGCACAGTGAGGCTGGCTGGGCTGTGGGAACACAGCTTTTATCCCACTAATGCACTGATAATCTGTACCCATGGCTAGGTTTCCACTCACTGGTGCATTAATCTGTGGTATGAAGGACTTTACACCTGTCAGCTGCATCTACGAGTATTTGGATTGTATGTATGTGGGTGTCTGTGCGTACAGAGGTGCAGGTTTGTGCCATACCAAGATCCATGTCCACAGCACGTGGTCGCTGAGAATAGGGCATGTTCTTGTAAACTGCATCTAGTATCTTCTCCTTTACTTGGGTGATGGTGTCACAGTTCAGCACCTTTACTGGAATCTCTGGACTGTTTTCATTGTCTGGGTTCACACAGTTCAGGATCTGGATTGTACACATGAGGAGAAGAGGAGAGACCAAGAGAGAGAAATCACTGAAGGAAATGGGGGAGCAGAGGAAGAGGCTGGAGAATGTTCTCTTACTGCCTGGACTCAGGTCTAGCTTGAGGCTTTACCCATATTAGAGTCTCCTTGGAGCATAGCAGGAGCTTTGAGAAACCATTTCCGCTCTCGCTAGCATCCTAAAATCTAATTTCACACCTTCGGTGGGACACCAATTTCCAGCTCTGCTGGGGCATTAGCACGTAATGAGCCAAATTCCCAGTCAGGGCAATCAGCGCGTTGTCATGTCACATGCTGGCTGTGTGAGTGCTTTTTCCATGTGTTCATGTGTGTGTGTACATGTGGAAGGTCTGTTAGATCTGTGTTTCAATCTTCACAGCTACCTGCCCTGATGTTGGACCAACACTGGAGCCTGTGGGCTCATTAGTTAATTTTATTCCCAACAGGAAGGGACAAACCCAACACAGCTACGCCATCTAACAGTGGTTTATGGTGAAAAAAAAAAAGTAACAAAGAAGCAAAGTTAAGAAATGTGAAAATTACACGATATAATTTCTGTTGGCTCACTCTTATACCAAAAATAACAGTGTTGGCTTTGTATGTGTGTGTGTGTCTCAGCTGGGAAGCATTTGAACTAAAAGTAAGCAATTTCTGAGTCAACAGCTGCATGTATGGTACAGTACATACCTCACAGTTCTACCTGTACAATATGTTTGTGTATATCTGAGATCCTCTGTGTGCCTCATGAGGGGGTTTTCCATTACAGGAGCCTACCGAAAGGTGTTGCACCAAGTTCAAAGTGTTTATTTGTCATATGCACAGTTAGGAAACGTGTTTCCCTGTACAATGAAATTCTTACTTTGCCGTCCACATCAATGCCACAAAATACTAATGAAATATAAAGTAGATAAATAAGGCACTTTAAGCAGCAAATGCAGCAATATAATAAGAAATATATAAGAATATAACAGAGAATGTATGCTGCATGGGAGCAGCATGTGCAGGAGTCAACAGTCAGTGTGCAATTATGCATGTGCAAACTGAGAATGTAAACAATAAGTAACAGGTTCCGTGTTTGTTTCCACTACACTTGGTCCACTTTGGAGGTGCGTTCTGGGAGGTAAATTTCGGCACCCCTCTAGAGGCAGTACTAAAATCAAGTACCAGGACTGGGCAGGGGGAAGGGGTGCGTGCACGCACGGCAGTTGCTGGTGATTGGGTAAATGTCCGTGTCTTTCTTCCCTCAAGCATTAGCATTACAAGCACTGTGTGTAATCACACAGCTGACTGCGTGTGTGAGAGAGGAGCAGCCCCTCCCTCCTCTAAACAGAGACCGACAGAGAAAAAATATAATGGAAAAAACAAACCAGGACGGTCTGCGTCAACCCTGGAGGCTATGCTTGGTGATGGTTAAGGGAAGTAGGGGATATAACGCTCGTTAGGTTCCGATAGTGGAAAAGCAGCAATGCAGAGTGACATACCAGGGTTTTGTACTCAATCTGCTGGCGGATGAGCTTGTCTTCACTCAAAGAGTAGCGGGCCTCTCCAGTGATGGCATCAATGGGCCCCTTTTCCATCTGCTGCTTGATGGCGCAGTACAGCATAAAGAGAGGCTCCCCAGCACACTCCTATCAGCATAGACACAGACAGACCAACCAGCAGATTCACACATGAGAGAACAGTACAAACACAGAAAACCTAAAAACCAAATTCAATAGACTGAAAACATTTCCAAACCCACATACTGTACAAATCTCACAATGTCCAGTCACACATTTTAAAAATAAGATACACAAGATAAGCTTGTGCTTGTACAGTATGTGTAAATACATACTCATACAAGCACACACTACAGGTTTTGCTTGGTGCACTAACCTTCAGAAACTTGTGAAGGAGGAAGGCAAACCAGTTTGTAAGCATCTTTTCTGCAACTGACTCTGTTCTGAAATGACATTAGAAAACAGGAAATATAAAATGTCACTCCATTCTTTCTCTTGATATCCCCCAAACCCTTTGCTGAGAGAAGTGTTCTATAATTTACTGGGTTATGTCCAAGATCCTGGCTGGGTGCATCTCGCTGGTGTAACAGTGTGGTCACAGTGAGTGAAGAGAAGAGAGCGGAGCGGCAAGAGGGCATTTGTGTGTGTGTGTGTGCACATGTTAAAAAACATGTGCCACTGACTCTGCGCTGATGTGAGTGTGACTGAATGCGTGTGTGCGTGTATTCATGTGTGGCTGAACACAGCGGGACATCAGCAGCTGTGACAAGCCTCAGCTGTTGAGAGAGATGAGTGCTGTCACAGGCAGGTAATGCCTGATCACAGCCAAAACGATCTCCTCCCCACTCATTTCCTCTCTCCCCTACCTCCTCTCCCTTCCCAGTCAATCGCACATGGAGGTACAGCTTGCTGCTGGGCTTGATTGGGCATGAAAACACACAAGTGTGCAACGACCTTGCGACTATTTCCACCCCAGAGCACAGGTGAGGACTGTACATATCTCTTCTGTGGTTCCTTCTCATATCTTTATCTGAATGCCAGATAAACATCCCCCCTCTGCTTCGTTAGCACCATCATGGAACAGTAAAACAAGTTAGACTTTAAAAATGGCAGAATACCAAACAGCCAGGTGGGAATGGTTAACAAGAGCGAAGCAAAGATGAAAGGGTTAGTTCTGTGCAGCTCATGTGGACAAGCACCTGAGGTGAATAGCAACAACAAGCTCTCACCTCATCTGGTAAAAACACTTCTGCCCTGCTCTTTCGCCTTCTCAGTTTGACTGCTGCACAAGCCTGCATGCACACTGAATTAAAAAAACAGCAATACCGAGCTGTTGTGGGTTTGAAATGGATTGTTCTGCCAGCCAGCTTTTGGTCCACACCATTATCACTAACTATAACTAGTCCTAACATAGCTGCTACATGCACTTAGCATGCCATGGTTAAGTGCCCCACAGACTGCACAGCTTGTGACTGTCACCTGGCTGTGATCACTCCCTGTCAGTTTGTACAGCATTGCCAAGTTAAACAGCAATGCATCGAAAAAAAGAGCCTCTTAATGTAGCAGGAAATGACTGTGATTACTCTGGTGGATATGATAGAGGGACCTTATAGTACACTGTGCTGAACTGGGGATTAGCAGGAATTGAAGCAGCCAGGTATTAAAGACAAGGAAGAAAGCTTCTATCTCCCCACAGCTACATAGTGCTAGGGATGATTATACCTATTCAGGCTCTGAATGGACCTAAAGGGAGATTATGGCTATTATAGAGATAATTGTGTTAAGCTGTGTTTGAGGGCTATAAGCATGAGCCTGGGACCGAAACAGAAGTCCCAGGAGGACAGACTGAATCAGGGGAGGTTACAACAGCTACCATTTCAGTCACTGACACAAGAAAAAGTCAGTCATTCTATCTTTCCCATTAATCTGAGCACGACTGAGATTTGTCTCTTTTTCTTTTTCATGTGAAAATATAGATCTTCCCTCCAGCTGCAGGACAGAGGAGCAGGGGTTATATTTTGTTTTGAATGGTGTGCGGCTGAGTTGTCATCTACTGTGTCTGGAGGCTTTACGTCTGTGAATGAGACTGCTGGCCAGTCTAATGGCAGCTCGTGGAGAGGATGGAGAGCTGGGTGACAGCCTGTTTGAAGTGTGATGTGCCAGCAGGGGAGAAAGATGTAGATTAGTTCACACAGTATCACCTACAGGACGAGAGAGTAAACATAGCTGAGAGCTGAAAGAACTACACGCTTCCGTCTGTGTGTGTTTGTCACAGCAACCTCTTTGGTGGCACACACACACATGCACACAAGCTTTATGCTTCTTTCCTTGTTGGCATTCAGACATATACAAACATAGAGGTGACGGTATGCATTCATAAAGAAAGGGAAAGACGCATGCAGTATTTACAAGCTCAACCTCGCAATGCTGCACAACAAAAAGTCTTCAGTCAACAACATAATAAGGAGCCACTCTGAGGGCCTGAGGCCATATTTTCACACAGAATAAACCTAAATAAATTGTGGATTTTTGGACAATACCCCAAATCCCTCTGTAATTGCCCTCCTTCTTCTACAAATATTCATCTCCCCTGGCCCCCACTGACTCACCATGTGCCCCTCCCAGCTTGAATAAGACTTGAGTGTGTTAGAAGTTAATGGAACCTATTAAGCATTTTAATAAGATCAGCAAGTCCTGAAGTAGGAAGTCAAATAAAGCCTTCTGTGCGGAGGCTGTGCTGACTTCCCCTTAATATCTTTCCTTTTGAATGTTGGGGGAGGACTTTGTTCTCCTCCTCCTCCTTTCCTTCTTGTCCTCCTCATCATCTGCCCCCACTTCCTTCTTTCTATTAAATGAGTTTCATTAATGAACATCAGGATTTCATTATGCCACATAGTGTTTAAGAGGGGCCTTGCATCCCCCTCATCTCTCTCATCTCTGGTCTCCTAATGGCAGCTTGGGTGGGGGGGCTATATTAGCAGGCAGTGGAATGTCTTTCAATGAAACTAATGCCAAACACAATACTCGCATTCTCAATAATGCTGTACTCCATGGCTCTGCATGGGCGGAAATCTCATTACGGAAATGCTGAGGAGAAAAATAATACAAGATTGAAAAGTCTCAAGGTGATTGAAGCAATGTTCTGTGATTCCATTAAAAGAACATTACAAAGAAGAGAAAGAGGAAGAAACTGTGTAAAGAGGGTGGCTGTGAAAAAAAAAGTTAAGAAGAAGATGGAGAGACTGGAGAATAGAGCTGAATGTAAAAAAGAAGTGGGTGGATGTTCAAGGATAGTCTGGTAGATGTCATCAAACACCAGCTTCAGTAATTATGGACAGACATAAAGAGAGGACAATGCTGTGGAATGACAACATACATGACGAGAGAGGCAGGACAGAGCAGGGAGGTAGAGCACTGACAGAGAAAGAGAGAAACTGAGTATAGGAACATCTTTCACTAATGGCGCATAATACAATCCAAACACCATGAGCTGCAGCATCCGTTCCACTTAGGCACTGGAAATTGAGGAAATCAAGCACACTGCCAAAGCTTACATACTACTTTCAAAAGGCTTTTAAGAGAATGTAAGTGTCTGTGAGCTAAAATCCTTCCATATCAAGACAAAAGTATCTCAGATCTTTAAATACCAAAGAGAGCAGAGTTTCTTTGAAAATAACACCTCACAAGAGCCTGAGTGCACAAACATGATTCCAGGAGCTACTGGATAGCTACTCTACAAAAGCCAAAATACTGTGCATGTTGTGGTTTGTTTTCACTGAACTGATATAATGAATGGTGAAATGAGATCTAGCCCTTGGTTGAGCATGACAGGAACAAGAAGCCAATATGTTCAGATTAGTTCTGTCTTATTCGCTTGTTAGCACTTTGAACTGCATTAACCTATACAAAAGGTGATACTGTATACAAATAAAGTTTGACTGATAAGATTTTATTGACTACAGACTAAGTTTGTCTAATAAATGTCCTTCCCAATAAAGTGTTGATAGTACATCAGCAATTAAACCCTCAAAAACTAAAAAGATAAAGGTAGTGTTGATGTTAATATTTATTGACTATAGACTAAGTCTGTCTAATAAATGTGCCTCCCAATAAAGTGTTGATAGTACATCAACAATTAAAAGATAAAGGTAGTGTTGATGTTAATCAGAGAACAAGTTTACATGTAGCATCTTTATTGTGTAGCTAAAAATAATCCTTAATAAAAACTTGTTAAAATCTGACACTGCCCAGGTTTTTAGGAAGGATTGCCAAAAGAATATATGTATTTATCACCTGATTTTTTAAATATTTACTTACATCTTCATTGATTGACCTAGAGAAGCTCTGTTGGTTTGATCTTAACATGGCTTTTACACAATATGGTCAGACTCATTCTTTAACAAACAATCATTTAGTTCCACTGTGCACATACATCTTCTCTGCGCCTGTATAGAAAAGCACAGCAGCTGAGCAGTGAAGGAAGCAAAGTTCTTCATAACTGCAGGATGTCTGGGGATGCACTTTCAACCCACTGTAATATAAATGAGAACAGGAAGCACAGCGGGTTGGGTAACCTGCAGGTCCTACCTGGTGGCTCTTTCCTTTGTAAAGCTCACTAATAATTCATTTAGAACAACAAATAGAGGCCATTCGAATACAGTCAAGACAGCTTTATTCATATACTACAGTATATTCTAACAGAAATAACTTGCAGAAGTTCTCAGATGACAACGGTCACTGGTCTCATCCGTGATGGGGACAAATCGGTGTACAGACAGGAAGTGGAACAGCTGGCCCTGTGGTAGCAGCAGCCTGGAGCTGAACCCGCTCAAAACAGTGGAGATGACAGTAGACTTTAGGAGGATGCCCCCCAACCCTACCCCCACTCACCATACACAGTAGCACTGTATCAGCAGTGGAGTCCTTCAAGCTCCTGGGCTCCACTGTTTCCCAGGACATGACGTGAACATCCAACATCAGCACCATCACAAAGAAGGCACAGCAGAGGATGTACTTCCTGCACCAGCTCAGGAAGTTCAATCTGCCCCAGTTCTACAGAGGAATCATCGAGTCTGTTCTCTGCACCTCCATTACTGTCTAGTCTGGCTCAGCTGCCAAACAGGACAGGAACAGACTCCAGCGGTCAGTTCAGATGGTAAAAAAGATTATCAGGACATTCTGAGTCTGATAACTAGCAGACAAACACACAGTGAACAGATAGATACATCTGGACACCATAAAGAAGCACAAGGATCTTCTTACCACCTGCTAATTCACAAATACCAGGAAGCAGAGGGGGGTCTTAGCCAGCATAATAGCAAGCATTTCACTATCCCATTATGTGTGATAATAGACTGAAGAGAGCTGATATAAAAGACAACTGAATGGGAAAATGGAAACAAAGCGCAGCCCAGCAGCCTCACTCTGCACCCTGCACAAACACAATTACCACTTGGAGATGTGCTCAATTTGAATCATTGAAACGTGTGTGAGTCCACTGGCTGGTTTGACTGTCAGCTTTTCTCTAAATAGGGGATGAGGAAGACATCAACAGGAAAGAGCCATATCAAATTAATAATCCCTTAAATTCTTCAGAAAAATGGGCAATGAAATGGAAAAACTATCGGACATTTAGCCCTCCAGGCTGCGACGGCAGGACCCAAGGATTACGTACCACTGTGTTCCATAAGAGAGAGGATAAAAAAAAGCTTGGAGGTGACGTGGGGCCCTGCTGTCATGTGAAATAACAGCTTAATCCAACTCCATTTGACGCTGCGTTGCTTTAGTCTCTGTCTTTCAGGCTCTGTTTGTGTATGTGCACGGTCTGGCACTTATTCACCCTGGCTATTAATGTGGATTTTTCAAATACAGACACTAAGGGAACATTATCGTCAGAAACAAGGTGTTGTTTGAAAGTATAGCAGCTGCCTGCTCTCACTGACTCTGCATATTAGTCATGTAAACCGAACCACATTCACAGAGCAGTCAAGCTTTCAGAAAATTAGGTCACAGTGACTACGCTTTGTACACTGTAACTTTTGAGATGTCTATTCTTTGTCCGTCCTTTAACCTATAGAGCTGCCAAAGCAGCTGAGGACACTCGGGCAAGGACTTAGCAGGTGTTTAAAGTTTTAGGACATCAACCCAACTCCAACGGAAAACAATGTACACTGGAGACACACAGAGGAAATAAATGTTTTATAAGGAGCCTGGAGGATAAATGAGACTGACACTGGCAATGAGAGAGAGCAGGAGGAGAGACAGCAAGAGAGGGAGAGTGTGGAACTGTGCAGAGAATTCAGATGTTTCTCATGACATGAAGCGTGCACAGCATTTATCGTAGCATACTGTAGATGTACCGTAGCACTCACTACAAGCCTTATTTTGTTAAATGGCTACATGAGAACATGGGGGGAAATCAGAGTGCATCCAAGACTAAATGGGGAAGAACACACAGATCAATTCATACCATCTGTCTAAATGTACATCCTCCTAGAGTCCTGCACTTCTTTATATGCTTCAAAATGAGAAGTGTGTTATCATTATCTGCATAACTATCCTCTGTGGACCAGAACAGCTACATGGTCATACAGTTTTCTTATTCTTTTTTTTTTTACAAAAATGAATCAAACATCTGAAACAGTTTGGTAATACATACAGTATTACTGGGGTTTAAGGCATTTTATTTATGATTTTGTATATTATTAAAGAGGCTTTCATTTGTTATAGTGTGGATGCTGAGTAAGCATCCACACTATTGTTATCCTGCTCTTTATTTATTATTCTTCCATATGTTTTTTGGCACTCAGCTTCTCCCACATACAGTACCATTCAAACATCAAAATGTTCAGCTTTTTAAGGACATTATGGTGTCTATTTGACTTTTTTTTTAAACTTTTATACTTAAGCTTTTTCCAACATTTTTTATAATGAAAGTCAATGGGAGAATTTTCAAATCTTCCTCCTCTTTCAGCCCTAATAGCTCCAGCATATTTTCAGCTAGAAAAACCATTCAACCTTTAAACAAGTCAGGACAAGTTCAGCTATTTATCTTGTATTCAGCTTTTTGATATCTTTTACAGTTTTTGAATTATCGCAGTTTACGTTTTATGTTGATTTTGGACATTTCTCAGCCTCTCCTTTCATTTGAATGGGGAGAGCTAGAGTGTGAGTGATGTCCTACAGCCTTTTTACAATTTTCCAGCTTGTTTTCTGCTCTTATTCTGGTTTTTGAATGAAGTGGCAACTTCAACAGTGAGTGCTGCCTCAGTCTGACTGACATTGTAATAGTCACCTCGAAGCAAAAGTGAAGGCTATTTGAAAATTGCCACAGTTCCTTTGTTTTATGGAATATCTTCACATAGAGGTGATCAGTCTGTTTGTTGACGCCTCCTGCTGTTCATAGTGAAGTGTTTTTTGATAGAACTTATACTTTTTCTTCTTTTGTCTATTTTGTGAAGCCCATGTTTCACTGAAATCTGCTGGAGTGTCCTCAAACTGCTGAGCCACCTAATTATCCACCTGCTACTTTTGGTCGCCCATTTCTCCCCTCCACTCTCTGTTAATTGACACGCAGTCAGTCAGGATCTGCGTGAACTGAGTGTCTTGTCAGACCCCATTTTTATGATATACTATAGTAAGGTATATTTTTCAGGTCGCACTGTGACGCATTTTCACGACATACTCTAGTAAGGCACTTTTTTCGGGAGGTGGTCGGGTCCCATTTTTACCACATACTATATAGTAAGGCACATTTTTTAGGAGAGGCTCCATATTGCCACCGTTCTGGTTTCAGCAGGCTCCTTATTTCAGGGTTCACTTAGCCATGTAGTCACAACGTTTTGATTAATTACTCTGACTGACTTTTTTACTCATGTGAATCCTGAAACCAGCAAGCTGGAGACACATAGATATATAGAATATATAGACATAATATATACATGTTGCTATTAATTTTTCAGCAATCAGCTTCCACATGGTCTAGTTACCTTATGCTATCTCATTCATCTTCTTATTCATTTAAACATCAAAATAGCAACATAATGTGTAATTTTATTTGCTAAATCGTTTTTCTTTGCTGACTTTGTTGAAAGGTGTTCATTTTAAAACTAATTCATAAAGAATAATGGTTTGATGCATAATTTGATGCATTACTTTTAAATATAGCAGGCAACCACTGAACCAGGCCCTAATTTGCTAAAGGGTAATATCGCTGTATCTTGTGTTACCTGCGCAGCAGCAGTTTGGGGTGGTTCTTGCTCTCCAGGTTGCGATCGATGAGGTCTGACAGCAGGTGTTTAAGGACGTCCGTGGCGTACTCCAATCGCCCCTGCAGGGCCGTCATGATAAGTGAGGCCACGTTTCCACGGTCCCTCATGGAGAAAGAACGCTGCATTTCCAGTGTTCGGATGAAGGTGAGCAGGAACACTTTGTTGTTGATGAGCTGACCAAACAGCTTCAGGGCCTTCTCCACATTTTGCTGGCCATTACCTGACACCTGGACAGAAGAGGTAGGGAGATCAATGTGTATTTGCAGCATTAATTTGAATAGTAATGAGTTCAGTTGTGTTTTGAAAAGGATTACTTGTCTTCCACCCTGGACTTCCACCCTGATGCTGTGTCACACAAGATAAAGATTTTTCCAAAGGGACCAAAGCCCTCACTCATGTTTCATTTCAGGCAGACACAAGTTCCCGCTCATGGTGAGTAACTGAGAAGATCTTAATCAATTATTGAGGAGGGTCTGTTAAAAAGCATTGTACCCTGAGTTAGATGCCATTTCACTTTCAAGTCAAATGTCAAATAACTTGCCAGGGTAAGAGGATCCCAAAGCAACACAGCTCACTTTCTTTGTATCTGTCTGAGTACACAACACTGTTCTTCTGGATAGCTACAGTAATTTGGGTCATTTTGATAGGAACACAAATGCATAGCTTGTTACAGAACATCGCTGTACTAAAAGGTGAAGAGACGTTGCCTTTGACAACAGCTCACAGGGCTAGTCGGACCTGAGCCATGCCCTCTCTACCTAACCATATCCAATAAACCAATAAACCAATAAACCAATCCCATCCCAGCCAACAAACTGCTAATAGAAAGGTGGACCTCTCTCATGGTAATTCTGTTTTCACTGATAGTGGATAATGCTTGCTTCCAGGCACCCTGACAGTTCAGTGGTTTCAGCAGACCATCATACACTCTTTTCATGTGCGACACTGAATCTGACCCTTGACATTTGGCCGGGCCCCCCCCCCCCCTTTTTGTCTCCCCTGTTTCCTCTTTGCATCTCTGCAACTCACTGTATAATAAAGCTCCCCTCCCCCCTGAATAAAATTTTACCAACACTACTCTGGCTCCATATAAAGGAGCAAAAAGTGTTAACCAGCCAGTTTTACCTCAGTGGAGGCCTGTCGAAGGACAGGGAATTACTCAGTTCATTACTCTTCTTACTGCAGCCAGTGGTGGATGAAATAGCCATGTGCTGGGACCCTGTTTTCCATGAGGGAGCTTGCATGTGAGGTGCATATGTGTGTGTGAATATATGCTGCCCAGTATGATTGGTTAAATGTGTGTGAGACCAGAGGGTAGAAAGGATAAGTGGCACACTGGTATCCTTTCCCCCTCTAGCACTTTGGAGGTTACCCTGCAGGAGGAGTGGCAAAGGCAAACATACTCTACCACTCACTATTTTTACC